TATAACTCCTTATCTTGCATACTTCAGGTCCTTGCTATTGCTGGGCTTGCTTAGTTGAGATTGTGGCAAGTGGAGAAGGGCCATAATAGGCCTTAGGAAATAGGAGTGGTAGAAAATGTCTAGAGAGGTTAGGGATGGCAAATTGTGATTGACACCAATTAACTGTGGGTCTTCTCCTGGCCAGTGATTTTCCAATTAGGATCAGAATTCCGGAAAAACTAGTAGAAGGATGGGGAAATGCATGCTGTACTCTTCCTCGTGCACACAATGATTACCTGTTGAAAGGCCTCTTATTTTTTACGGCTAAACAGAATTTATGGATAAAGTCTTAACTTGCTAAAGGGTACAGAGAAGCAAAATATTCTATAATAAGTTTATCAATTTTGGAAACATGAAGTATTTTTACTTTATCTAGGAGCCCAAGCTTAGGTGATTTTTCATGATGCAGATGGTAGGAGTGAGGAAATGAGGCTGAAAGCTCTGGATTAAGTGGTGCTGGAATTTCTCTTCTGGTGGCAGGTGTACACTGGGGCTATGAAGAGACCAAGACTTACCTTGCAATTCTTAGTGAGACTCAGTTTTATGAAGCCCTTCAGAACTGTCACCGCAACAGCCAGTTGTATGGAGCAGTGGCTGAGAGGTTATGGGAATATGGCTTCCTTAGGACCCCAGAGCAGTGTCGGACAAAGTTTAAAAGCCTACAGACCAGTTATCGGAAAGTCAAGAATGGACAGGCACCAGAGACTTGTCCCTTCTTTGAAGAGATGGATGCTCTGGTGAGTGCTCGGGCTGCTGCCCCTCCCAGCAATGGGCAGGAAGAGGAGCCAGCTTCTTGCCCCATCCAGGGAACCAGTGAGGCTCAAGCTGAGAGGCAAACTGAAGAGGCAGAAGAGGCGATAGAGGAAGATTCTGATGAGGAAGAGGAGGATATTGAGATTCCCCCAGAGGCTGTCAGAACCCGTGCTCCAGTCTTATTCCAAAGCCCCAGTGGTAAGACTCTTTAACTTCTTACGGTATACATAGAAAAGGGGAGGCAATGGGATCCAGGACAAAGATCATATTGAGAACTGGTCTCTACACCAGCTTTCACTTTTTTTTTTTTTTTTTTTGCTCTACCTTATCTCCTATATTTCTTGTCCATTAAGCAGCTTAGTGAGAGGATATAAATTTTTCTTGTGACTTGCCTCCTCACATTGTGGCATCACAGATAATTACAAACTTTGTAAATTTGTTGTCATCTGTTTAAGCTGCAGATTTCCAGCCAGTCTAGCTAGCAGAATCCAAAAGCTAGTATTTCCCAAGTAGCATGTCATTTACCTATATGATATGAACTTGATTCTATAAGTTCATTCTCATGTTTTTCTTCTAGTTTCAGCTTTTACACCAGCTCTATATCTTATTTATTTACATATATGAAAACCTAGTAACATTTTTTTTTTTTTGACAGGCAGAGTGGACAATGAGAGAGAGAGACAGAGAGAAAGGTCTTCCTTTTTCTGTTGGTTCACCCCCGCAATGGCCGCTGCAGCGGGCATACCACGCTGATTAGAAGCCAGGAGCCAGGTGCTTTTCTTGGTCTCCCATGAGGGTGCAGGGCCCAAGCACTTGGGCCATCCTCCACTGCCTTCCTGGGCCACAGCAGAGAGCTGGACTGGAAGAGGGGCAACCGGGACAGAATCTGGTGCCCCGACCGGGATTAGAACCCCGAGTGCCGGCGCCGCAGGCAGAGGATTAGCCTATTGAGCCGCAGCGCCAGCCAACACTTTTCTTAATACATGCTTCATGCCAAAGTGAGAGGTTTCTAAGGGAACTAACTAATCCTTTGAATCTTAGCTGCTGTCAGAATTAAGAAAGCAGTACTCCGCAGGCGGAGGATTAGCCTATTGAACTGCGGCGAGAAAGCAGTACTTTAATATGGCTTCTCTCCCTGTGGCAAAAAGAATTCTGATTTTGGAGTCACTCATGTTTATTTATGTGAATCTAGACTCTACTGTTTAACAGCTGAGTGACTTACAGCAAGTTACTTAGTTCCCAAGTTTGCTTATATATTAAGACCTCCAGCATAGAATTGATGCAAATGAGGTACTTCTGCAAAGTACCTTTTACAGAGTGGCCACAAGTAGGTATTTAATTAATACTATTTTCCATTTCTATACGTCCTTTAGAAAAGCATTCTTTAGGCTGATGTTCCATGGAGCAATAATTCTATGAGATACAAATATGTTCTACTAAAAAAAATGGCTTTGGAAATGCTAAATATTCCCTCACAATACATATTTCTGTATTTAAGGTTCCAAGATTTCATTTAACCTGGTGAATGTCTATTTCATGAAGAACCTCATCAGACAAGCTTCTGGGTGGGAATAATGTTTTACAGGGTACATTCATGGGCTTATACTAAACATTGTTTTGCTGTTAGATTTAGTCCATGGAATTTGGATCCAGAGTTTACCTGAAACATCTGAAAGTGCTAATTCTCACAACCTGTGCTCCAAGAAGCCTGGAATTGGTTCTTAGAATATTTAAAAACTTGCTTTAGCAGAACACTTAGAATAGATGCTTTTGGAGCATTTAGTGATTATTTTTCCATGAGCAAAGAGAATGTTTTAGAGACACTTCCTAGGAAAGATTACAGTAAATATTTTTCTACCCTGTTTTTTCTTTAAATTTTTTTTTTAATTTGACAGGTAGAGTTATAGACAGTGAGAGAGAGACAGAGAGAAAGTCTTCCTTCCGTTGGTTCACCCCCCAAATGACCGCTATGGCCAGAACTGCGCCGATCTGAAGCCAGGAGCCAGGTGCTTCTTCTGGGTCTCCCATGCAGGTGCACGGCCCACGCACTTGGGACATCCTCCACTGCCCTCCCGGGCCACAGCAGAGAGCTGGACTGGAAGAGGAGCAGCCGGGACTAGAACCGGCACCCATATGGGATGCCGGTGCTGCAGGCAGAGGATTAACCCAGTGAGCCATGGCGCCAGCCCCTCTACCCTGTTTTTATTTCCAATTTATATAGGAATACAAGGAGAAGGGGAATCATGAAGCTCTGTCTAGATACAGATGTTTCCCTGAATGTTCTGGGAATTTCCTCTAGTCCCTTTAGTTTAACCAAACAAGAACACCATAGTAGGCCTGAAATATAGCAAAAGTAACATTGTAAGAAAGTATCTTTCCTGGGGCCAGCCCTGTAGTGCAGTGTGTTAAAGCCCTGACCTGAAGCGCTGGCATCCCATATGGGTGCCGGTTCTAGTCCCGGCTGCTCCTCTTCCAATCCAGCTCTCTGCTATGGCCTGGGAAAGCAGTGAAGGATGGCCAAAGTCCTTGGGCCCCTGCAGCCACGTGGGAGACCCAGAGGAAGCTCCTGGTTCCTGGCTTCGGATCGGCACAGCTCTGGCCGTTGCGGCCATCTGGGGAGTGAACCAGCAGATGGAAGACCTCTCTCTCTGTCTCTGCCTATCTCTGTAACTTTTTCAAATAGATAAAATAAATCTTTAATAAAAAAGTATCTTTTCTATATATTCATAGTGATAGTCTCCCCAAGATGCAGTGAGTTCTCCAGAGAGGATTTTCTGAAGATCCTAAGTATTCAAGAAGAGTTTAAAAAAAAAAATGTATTAATTAACCTGTAGGTAGATGAGAAGTACGTGATAGGTGACCAAATAGAGAAGTAAAATACTGGGAATTTTAATAATAATACTTATTTGGAATCAGGAACACCCTAATTTTCATCTTTACTCACTTAATGTATCATTTGTTCCTCCCAGGTTTGCTGTACCCTGGCACATACACTGAAGAAATGGCTAACATTAAAAATTCTTTTCTTATATCAGGTTTCGAGGCTGGATTTGAGAATGAAGAGAATCCACAACGGGATATATCTGAGGAAGTGCAACTGCACAGGACATTACTTGCAAGGTCTGAAAGGAAACTTGCCCATCATCTTAATCAAGGTAAAGGTAGTGAGAATGAATGTAGATCAGGAAGAGAGTGGGAAAAAACCCCAGGGGAGAAAAGAGGAAAACTGAAACTCCCAGAGAAGAGTTTAGGGAAAGTCCTCAGTCATCAGAGGCCTTGCGTGGGGGAGAAACCCCCCAGGTATCTCAGGTACGGCAAAGGCTTCAGCCCAAACTCCTCTTTCATGCATCAGATATCTCACCAGGTAGAAAATCCATATAAATGTGCTGACTGTGGGAAAAGCTTCAGTAGAAGTGCACGCCTCATTAGACATCGGCGAATCCACACTGGAGAGAAACCGTATAAGTGTCTTGACTGTGGTAAAAGTTTCCGAGACAGTTCAAATTTCATCACCCACAGGAGAATCCACACAGGAGAGAAACCTTATCAGTGTGGTGAGTGTGGAAAACGCTTCAATCAGAGCTCAAGCCTTATAATTCATCAGAGAACTCACACAGGAGAAAAGCCCTATCAATGTGAAGAGTGTGGAAAAAGCTTTAATAACAGTTCTCATTTTAGTGCACATCGAAGAATACACACAGGAGAGAGACCACATGTGTGTTCCGACTGTGGAAAGAGTTTCAGTAAGAGTTCTGACTTACGTGCGCATCACAGAACCCACACGGGAGAGAAACCTTATGGGTGTCATGATTGCGGCAAGTGTTTTAGTAAAAGCTCTGCCCTTAACAAGCACCGAGAAATCCATACACGAGAAAAGCTTCCGACACAGTCAGCGCCTAAGTAAGCCCCTGAGGATGTCGATATATATAAAAGAAAGAGCCTCAATAAGTGTATTGTTTGGAAAGTCTTCCAGGAGTGAGATCCATCTATTTATGTGCCCAGCTGGCTTAGTACTCTCCAGGATTTATGCCACTGTTTGTTCCTTATATTTCTCCTGGTTCAAGTGTCAAATTCCCAAGGCAGTCATTTTAATAACCAAAGGAATATTTCAGTCCCTCTCCTTGCCTACCTTTGAACAGACAGGTAACAACTTTTGCCTCTCAGTGCCTATGTTGTTCCTTTAATAGAGAACATGGTAGCAGAGCCTATGAATTTGATATATACATCTTTACTCATCCTGTCATTCAACTGCAGTTCAAATTTAAAAACCCATCACATCTGCATTTCAGGGAAAAGTTGTGAGACATTCTTCATTAGGTGGGTCTAGGTCTTCTTTACACAGTAATGGAAATGCTAAAAAGAATGAAATCTTCCTATTCACTTAAGCCAGGGCTCAGAATGACACATCTGTCAGGCATAGTCTTCATTTACCTCATAGAAGAGTTTAATGTCCCTCTTGGTTCTGCTGTAAGAATCATCTTGTCAAGAATCAGGTGTTCTCTATGGGGAAACAATATAAATTTTATATAAATATTAAAATGTGAACCCTGAATTTCTTAGTTTTTTCCAAATCCTAGCAGGGTTGGAATAGACTACTACTACATTCACAGCATCTAGTTTGATTTTCTTTCAGTCCTATCAACTGAATTTAATCTGCACTTTGTGGTCCAGAGGCCCAAAGAGCGAGCAAGCTAGCTAGTTGTGTTGGGGAAGGCAGTTAAAGCTGCTAATAGGGAATCCTGTATATCCACACACTCCAAACACCTAGTATAGTGTTAGCACCCCATCAGCACTAAATACTAACTTGCAAAGAACAAGCCACTGCCACATTCCCATGTATTGGGAAAACAGGCCATTCTGTGCCAACAGCTGTTTAACGGCAGGGAAGATGGATCATCTTTGGTCAGTGGAGCTGCCAGTCTACATAAACACACTCAACTGTGTACAGTTAAAAGCAGCTCTTCAAACACAGGTGTAATTACTAATCTTTATAATCAGATAGAACTGAGTTGGCCATATGTTCACAGTAATATGACAAGCACTGTAAAACATGTTAGACACAGTCTAAAACAAATGACACAATAAGCACGTGTGTAGCTGGCAATAGTTTCAGAGAAATCTAGAAAGCTAAGTAGTACCTCTATGCAAAAATGTTAATGGCTAATGCATTAGAATTTGCTACAATAAAATTTTAAAAGGTATTCTCTTTTATTCAGGAAGCCTTAATGAAGCAGAAAGTGTCCAGAGCAGGGAAGGTTACTGGGTAAATTAGGGTAGGATGAACTTTCTAAAACTAGTTGCAAAACTGAGTGCTGGATGGGTGAGGAATAGGAAAGATGGGGGAGTGATTGGCAGAACAGAGACTGTAAGGAAGGTTAGCTAAAGTTTAGAGCAGTTCAAAGCTTGGGAAGAGTATAACATGGGTTGTGCAGTGGAAGAAAAAGAATCACCTTAGCCAAAATATGAAGTGCCAGAGGCAGCCCACAAGGTGGTACACTCATCATCACAGGTGCGATGCTACACTTACTGCTAAGAAAAGAGTGGCTGACATCAGGGAAGAAAGAGCAGTTTTGGGGGACTAGCTTCTACAGGCAACAAAGGCCAGGTGGGGAGGTCAGAAGAAAGAGGAACACAGCCAGATGGCCATGGCCTAAGATAAGCAGCTGTTTCACATTCATAGTTAATTAAAGTTCTGTGGTTAGAGTGAGATCTGGGACAGCAGTAGGGAGATAGGATATTCTGTAATTCATAGCTTACTGTGTTAGATGAGAGATTACTTAGGGTTCTGATGCTGAGGAAAAAGAATCTCCCAACATTTATTAAGAATTAAGGGAAGATAGTATCTCAGTTTTGCTGCCTAAACAGACAGGAAGGTTCAGCAAACACCAGTTTAAAGCAATAACTCAGGATCTGCATGGTTTAGGAAGCATGCTGTAATGTTAAAAGAGATTATTGTCTTTAGTATATTAATGTATAGTTGTGTGGAAAAAGCATCGGTTGGGCTTTCAACAGATATGAATTGTGGTTCCAGATGTCCTATAAGTCATCCTGCCTCCATTTCCCTTTCTGTATAGCAGGATAATGTTTACACCTAATCTGCCTCTCAGGGATACCATGTTAATAAAAATTACATCTATAAAGTACCTGGTGTCTTCAGGTGTTTCTATGCCTATATGCAAATTATGAATAACTTTTTGATGAATCTTTATCTGCTTTTCTTGGTTCCTTGTATGAGGTTACTAGAAGTGTCTGAATATTTGTGCCAGGCAGAGAGACAAATGAAACTATGGTTAAAAAATAAGTAGAAAGAAAATCCTTCCTTGGTATCAGTATCCACAATCTATTGCAACTCATGATAACTGGGCATGGAGAGTGAGTCTTATTTTAAGAGACCCACAAGGAACAGCCTTGCAGAAGGAATAGGACAAAGAGTAACTCCTTACCATGTAAAGACCCACTTTATCCCTAACAACCATTAAATGCCACCCAATCTGCCATTCCTGAGGATGGAAGAAGAAATAAAAGTCTTCAACCTCTCTAAAAAAGAGAAACCAAGGCCAGTGTTGGGAAACCAAAAGAATCTATTCACCCCTAGCCTTTTAATATCCATAAAGCCCTTTTGGGAGGAGATACTTTGTGCAGCAAAGGAAGACAGAAACAGAAGCATTAAAGGAAGCAAAATGGTTACATCTGTTCTTGTCAGTTGTTTTTGAGTTCAATTACTGCTTTTTCTTTATTTTCTCCATCATGCTTATTTTATTGCTTGTTCTCTATGGCCAGTGCCATAGAACTTAGTCTCTGTGTTGCTGCCATTTTTCCCTTGTAATCTGAGTGTAGAGGCTGAATCTGTTAATTTTATATATCACTTTTTGTTTTTGTTTTTTCAAGATTTATTTAGGGGCTAGTGCTATGGTATAGTGGGTAGGAGCCGCCACCTGCAGTGCCAGCATCCCATATGGGTGCCAGTTTGAGTCCTGACTGCTCCACTTCTGATCCAGCTCCCTGCTAATGTGCCTGGGAAAACAGGGGAGGAAGGCCCAAGACTTTGGGCCTCTGCACCCATGTGGGAGATGCCGAAGAAACTCCTGGTTCCTGGCTTTGGATCGCCCCAGCTCCAGCCATTGTGACCATCTGGGGAGTAAACCAGTGGATGGAAGACATCTCTGCCTCTGCTCTTGTAACTCAACCTTTCAAATAAATAAATAAATAAATATTTTTTAAAGATTTATTTATTTATTTGAAAGGTAGAGTTAGAGAGAGATCCTCCATCTGCTGGTTCACTCCCTAAATGGCCTCAGTGGCCAAGGCTGGGTCAGACTGAAGCCAGGAGCTTCTTTCTGGCCTCCAATGTGGATGCAGGGGCCTATGCACTTGGGCCATTTCCCACTGTTTTCCCAGCACATTAGCAGGGTGCTGGATGGAAAGTGGAGCAGCTGGGACTTGAACTGGCATGCATACAGGATGCCGGAGTAGGTATCACAGGTGGTGGCTTTACCTGCTACACTACAACACTGATCCCAAGCAATGGGGTTTTATCAAGACCAGTTCCAGAAGGGAGGATGGAGTAAGAGTATAAAGGTGGACTAGTTCGTTCTCCATTACTGAATTCAAAACCTGAAGTGAAAAATGTATAATACTTGAAGAGCGATCTTACTGACATGCATGTCTCAAAGTTTTGACTCTGAAACCATGATGCTTAAAGTAACATGTTTTATGAAGTTTGTATAATCATTAAAATGTATTATAAATGTATAAATATATAAATTTTAGGATTTTAAAGTCTGCCATTCCTGTTACACACACCATTAAGGCTCTTTCAGAAATAAAACTTTGGAACAACTGGAAGTCAGATTAGACTAGAAATAGAAACCAGAGTATCCTAGAGCTCAAGAAGTGCCTGGCTAGCATAGTACCACTATGGTCAAAGTAGAAAAGGGTAAGGTAGGTACATTAAAAAAAAAAAAATTGGCTTCCCAGGGGATCTATTCAATCCATAAAAATCTAAAAGATAAATTAGGAAAACAATTTTAAAACTTTCCACAAATAGTGAGCTCATCAAATTCAGCAGAATTCAATTTAAAAATAGTATTTTATTGACATCTTCCCTGAGCAGCAGAGAAACCAAAGGACACTATGTCATTTTACACAGTGAGGTCCATATTCCAATATCTCATGCTGTGGCCACCAAGCACCTGAACAGTTCTTAGGCTTCACAAATCCCTGTTTGTCCACAGTTGGCATTTGTCAATTTTTAACAGATAAACGAGGAAGCAACCATTTAAGAGACTGGGCCAAGTACTAGTGATGGTCTTGATGTGGATCTCATGTAGGTAAAATAATAAACCATGAGCTAAATACACCCTTAAAGGGGCCACTGTTTTGGCACATTGGATTAAGCTGCTGCCTGTGACACTGGCATCCCATATGAGTGCTAGGTTTGAGTCCCAGCCGTTCCATTTCCAATCTGGCTCCCTGTTAATGCTCCTGGGAAGGCAACAGAAGATAGCCCAAGTGCTTGGTTCCTTGCCACCAATATAGGAGACCTGAATGAAATTCCAGGCTCCTGGCTTTGGCCTGGTCCAGTCCCAGTAGTTGTGGCCATCTGCAGAGTGAACCAATGGATGGAAGATCTTTCTCTGTGTGTGTCTCTATGCTCTCTCTGTAACTCTGCCTTTCAAATAAGTAAAATAAATCTTTTCAAAAAACTGTATGTTTTTAGCATAGGGCAGAAGCAGCAGCTACTGTGATGATCACGTAGGTCTGGGAAGGAACTCTGAAAATTAAAATAGAATGTACTCATAGGATGAATTGGTATTATCAGTAGAAACTGGGCATATTTTTTCAAAATAGCAGACCATGAAAGAAATCAAGAAAATAAAGTTCCAGAGGGCCTGTTCCATATCTACATATATGTAGTTTTTTGTAACTTTTGTTATTTTTTTCTTGACATAATTTCAAACTTAACAGAAAAACTTCCAAAAAACTCCTGTATATCTAATTTCACCAAATTAAATTTTTTGGAAATTTGCTTTAGATTCTTTCTGTATATACAGACATATACCTATGTAGACATTTGCTTGTTTGTTTTTACTTTTTCTTTTTTCTTTCTTTTCTTTTCTTTTCTTTTCTTTCTTTCTTTCTTTTCTTTTTTTTTTTTTTTTTTTGACAGGCAGAGTGGACAGTGAGAGAGAGAGAGGGAAAGGTCTTCCTTTTCCATTGGTTCACCCCTCAGTGGCTGCTGCAGCCGGCACACCACGCTGATCCAAAGCCAGGAGCCAGGTGCTTCTCCTGGTCTCCCATGCGGGTGCAGGGCCCAAGGACTTGGGCCATCCTCCACTGCCCTCCTGGGCTACAGCAGAGAGCTGGACTGGAAAAGGAGCAACTGGGGGCTGGCGCCGTGGCTCAATAGGCTAATCCTCCACCTTGCGGCGCCGGCACACCGGGTTCTAGTCCCGGTCAGGGCGCCGGATTCTGTTCCGGTTGCCCCTCTTCCAGGCCAG